CGATCCTTAACCCTTGGAGTTTATGACCACCATTTCCCAGCTCTGCTGCCCATCCCAACTTATTCAAGAAGGTACTAAAGTCTCTGCTCAAAGCCATGTGTCTAATGACCCCCCCCCCAAGACACTCTCATTAAATGTGTTACAATAACATTCCATATTTTTTTCTGGAAGAGTAAAAGAAAGCAAATATTAATGATTCACATCCTCCCATTTCTTCTCTTAATATCTCTTAGGTAGGGCCTTCTGAAGAAAATTCAATTTCTCTTTTCTGGACTTGTGTGATCTCATTTCTCCTAAGCCTTCTCCTATTTCCTTAGTCTTGGTAAGTCCCTTCCACTTCCACTAATAAAACAGTCTAGCGAACAGTAAGAAAAAAGGAAGTGGGAGAAAAGAGATGACCAATTTCCCTTGGATTATCACAAAAATGCACTAAACACGAGCAGAAACAGCAGAAGAATAACAGATTTTCATTGCTAGCTCATCTGAATTATCAGGAAATTACTAGCACAATTCTTCCCATGGGCCCTGAACTCTGCTTAGAGATCAGCTACTCTGCCTCTAACCCCCTTACTACACACCTCCTCATTCCTTAGAAAGGTTCATCCAGAACTACTATCTCACCTTTCCAGACTCTATAAGAGATATAAAACATTACCATTTTGGTATACAAGAGGAAAGAAAAAATTTTCTTACTAAAAAATCATTGCAACAAAAAACTGCCCCAGACTGCTCTTTAGGGCCAGGGATAGCTGCAATCAGTTTTAATGTAACAACACAATCACAAATAGAACCGTCTCTCCAATAAATAAAGTGAATTCTTTCACATCAAAAAGTTTCACAAGGGAGGCGGGGCTTGATGGTGGATAGGGTAGAAGTGCAGTGAGCATCTCACTCAGCAATAACACAGAATACTGGATGAAGCAGGTTCAGGGGACAGTTCCAGAATTCTGAACCACATATATAGGAATATTTTTTTAAAGTTTGAGGGCTTATAGCCAGTGGAATTTGTAGCAGAAGCAAGAAATCCCATGCTTTCGAATACTCCAGGCTCAGAGGATTCTGGAGCCACCATTTTGGGCAAGAACAAGCAAGGGAAGGATCGGAGCCACCACGGACTGACACCTGACAGAACCTCAGAGATAAAGGTGTGGATATTCTTTTTTTGTTTTAAATCTGTTCATTGGTAGATCTTGCTGTCTACGTACCTACATTCTGTTGACTAGAGGGGTGTCTGAGCAAGTGGCCACCCCACCCACCCAGGGAGAGTTCTACTATGCATGCGCACTGATCTCTTCAAAATTTAAAGTGACAGTTTCCACTTAAAACCCAACAGCAGTGCAAAACAGCCACAACCAGCCCTGAACTGATTATCACTAGGAAAAAGGCCAGAACGAAGGTTGTGGTATGGGAGAGACAGACTAAAAATGAAACAGGCCGAAAATTAAATCTTGACTTACATAATAACAACCAACAGTGGCATCTTGAAATTATTTCCCAAGTGGCCTTAAAGGCAAAAAGCTGAAAAAAGATATTAAAGTCATACTCTCTGATAGTGTAGTGGTTAGGAATTAGGCTGCTATCCTCCATGTCGGCAGTTCAAAACTACCAGCGGTTCCACAGGAAAAAGTAGAGGCTTTCTGCTCCGGTAAAGATTTACAGCCTCAGAAACCCTGTACAGGATCACTATGAGTCAGAACCGACTCCACGATACTTAACAACAACAACATATTAGGCTACAGACTTTTTTTTCCTTTCTTCTCTGTTTTCTGTGATTATAGACTACAGTATCCAATCTGTCTTTTCTGCTGTTGCTGTTTTGTTTTTTGGTTCCCTCTTTACCTTTAGAGGGAGCTTTCTCTCCCTATGTTACCCAAGAAGATACAGCAATAACAGTCATATAGTCAAGCTACAGTCACACCCTATAAAATCCCACAATCCAGCAAGAACCAATACCAGCTGCCACACACCAGGTAGGCAGCCAACACCTGCAACAGTTACTCTTAGTAGAGTAATAAGAAGAGTGAAAAGGGAAGCCCATCTCCTGATCACATCTACCTGGAGGCAATCAGAAAGCATAAAAAATACCAAAACACACACTCATTTAAGTATTAAGGCCACAGCTAACTCCTGAAATATGCCAAAAACAAAACAAAACAAAACAAAAAAACAGAAACAGATGACCATATCAGTACATGTCCAGAAACAAAATTAAGTGACTGAGACAAATGATCTGGAGGTAGACCTACACTCCATACTGGAAGGAGGGAAGGCTTTGGAAATGCCTGAGGAGGAATTCAGAAAAATAATTATAAAATGTATCAAAACACTTTACAATGGAGTTAAGAAAAATAAGGAAGAAGTCAGGAAAGCACTACAGGAACAATCAAATAAGATAGATACAGAATTGGAAACAATTCACAACCTACAGAAAGAGGTCTAAAGGATCAATAATAGAATATCAGAAATGGACAATACACTGAAAGGGTAAAAGAGTAGAATTGAAGAGATGGAAGCCAGAACTAGTGAGCTGAAAGACAAATCTCTCAATACTACTAAGATAGAAGAGCAAGCAGAAAAAAGATTTTAAAAATCTGAAGAAGGTCTAAGATTCATGTTGGACAACGTGAAGAGGAATAACTTAAGAATCATTGGCATTCCAGAACAGGAAGAATCACACAACTCTGCAGAAGAAATAGTTGAAGAGCTGCTAAAAGAAAATTTCCCTAACATCCTGAAAAGCAAAAAGATAAAAATTCAAGAAACTCAATGAACCTCAGGAAAGACGGACCCCAAAAGAAAATCCCGAGACATATCATAATCAAACTCTCCAAAAAAAGATAAGGACAGACTACTGAAAGCAGCTAGGGAAAAGAGAAACGTTACATACTAAGGCAAGCAAATCAGATTAAGCATGGATATCTCAGCAGAAACCATGTAGGCAAGAAGGCAATGGGGAGACATATATGACACCCTGAAAGAAAAAACTGCCAATCAAGAATCCTCTACCTAGCAAAGGTATTTTTCAAACAAATACAATGGTGTAATCAAAACATTCCGGGAAAAACAGAAGCTAAGGGATTTTGCCAAAGCCAATCCTGCACTGCAATACACCCTAAAGGGAGTTATGTGGATTGAGAACAAATAACAACAGACAATAACCAGATTTTGACGTATGTGTCAGCACCACCCAGAACTCAATCGACAAATGGAAGAGTCAAGAACAGAACAAAACTCTAAGAACAAATTCAGAGGATCTGGGAGCTCAGTCTATGATTAAAACAATTACTATGTGAAGGAAGGTAAACATGTAGAACAGAGATCTAGGTGGTGAGAAGATCAGGTACATTACAGGATACAATGGACTATATTAAATGGAAGGAAAGTTAATGGTATATAAGATAAACTCAAAGGAAATAAACACTTCACAACATTACCAAGAATATGAAAATCCAAGAACATGGAACTATTAAAACTATGAGGAACACAAAAAACATGAACTCAGCACAGGAAGACATGCAGAACAAAGAAACCAGCAGCACCACACACACACACACACACACACACACACACAAAACATAATGGCAGCAATAAATCCATACCTTTCAATAATTACAATGAATGTAAATGGATTAAATGTACCAGTTAAGAGACAGAGGGTGGCAGAATGGGTAAGAAAACAGATCTTTCAATGTGCTGTCTGCAAGAGACACACCTTACGCACAAAGACAAAAACAGACTAAAAGTCAAAGAATGGAAAAAGATAGACCAAGTTTATTACAATAAAAAACAAGCAGGAGTGGCAATACTAATCTCTGATAAAATAAACTTTAAGGCAAAAAACCAGCATAATAGATAAATATGGACATTATCTCATGATTAATGGATCAATTGAATAAGATGACAAAACCATAATAAATATCTACTCTCCTAATGAAAGAGCTCCAAAATATATAAAGCAAACTCTAATAGATTTGAAGAAACAAATAGACAAATCTACAATAATAGTGGGTGATTTTTCAAAAATGAATAGAACAACCAGAAAGAAATTCAACAAAGCACAGAGGAATTAAACAACGCCATCAGCCAACTGGACCTCATAGATGTGTACAGGGCATTCAACCCAACAACTGCACAATACATATTGTTTTCCAGTGCACATGGAACATTCTCCAGAATAGACCATGTGTTAAGCAACAAAACAAGCCTCCATAAACTTACAAACATCAAAATACTACAAAGCATCTTCTCAGACCATAATGATAGCAAATTAGAAATCAACAATAGGAAGACCAAGGAAATAAAGTCAAATGCATGGAAACTGAATAACACCCTGCTGAAAAGTGACTGGGTAGTAGAAGAAATAAAACACGAATTCACAAAGTTCCTAGAAACAAATGAGTATAAAAACACAACATACCATAATCTCTGGGACACAGCAAAAGGAGTGCTGAGAGGGCAGTTTATTGTAATAAATGCACACATCCAAAAAGAAAAAAGAACCAAAATCAAAACATTAACACAACATCTCCAACAATTAGAAACAGACCAGCAAAGTAAACCTACAGTCAACAGAAGAAAGTAAATAATAAAGATTAGAGAAGAAATAAACAAGATAGAAAACAGAAAAAGTATAGAAAGAATCAACAGGACAAGAAGCTGGTTCTTTGAACGAATTAATAAAATCGACAAACCTAACAAAACAACAGAGGGAGATAACACAAATAACATGCATAAGAAACTACATGGGTGATGTCACAACAGAACCAATAGAAATGAAAATGATAGTAACAGAATACCATGAAGAGCTGCACTCCAATATATTTGAAAATCTAAAGGAGATGGATAAGTTTTTAGAAAAACACAACCTACCTAAACTTACACAGAATACAGTAGAAAACTTGAACAGATCGATAACAAAGGAAAAAGTTTCACCAGACTTTCATTGGATCCACTCATCCTTCCCAAACTCCACCCATTCAGGGCTTACATGCTGTTGTTACCTGTACAAATGACGGTTGTCTTCAAAATCCTCCTGGCCCCATTTCCCCTTGATATCTTCAATAACGTGATTCTTCAGGAATTTTTTCAGCAGCTGGACTGTTTGTTTGCGGGTCACTTCGGGACCAAAGTTTTGACTGCACCTCAGTAGCTCATGCAGCCAATCTACAGCTTCCGCCGCTGTGAAGCAATGTTCATAACTTTTGAAGCGACATCGATGTTTCCGTAATGGCATCCGAGCACGAAAAAGCTCAACTGTTTCATTCCACTAAAGGGGAAGAAGAAAGGGGGGAGTTAATAATCAACTGATTGTTTGAAGAGTCATTAAATCTCAAATATATAAGGCAATAAGTGCAATTAAAAGACTTCCTCAATAACAGAAGGAATCTTGACATTTTTCCATTCACTCTTCAAGTTCTAAAGAAAGTGCAGCTTTTGAGAGGTAGTTAGTTCCTTGCTAATTCATTAAAAAATATATATTGTATACTGTCATCAATGTGTCCTATTCTATGAACTTAATGGATTTTAAGTAAATGAAAAGTATATGATCACAAATAATGCATAATTTATTGCTTAGCGTTTTTCTATATATGACTTTACTTCATCCAGCAGATATTTATTATTAGGTGAAAGGCACATTATAAGAAAAAGGAAACGAGAAACACAGAAGACAAAGTACCTGATGTCAAAGAGCTCACCACAAATACAAACCTTTTCAAAATAAACAGCCAGTCTACCATGCATGAGTATTCTCAACAAAATTAAAACAAAATAAAATAAACTTGTGGCGGTGGTTATGTGCAGTGGAGTCGGTTCTGACTCACAGTGACACTGCAAAGGGTTTCCGAGACTGTAAATCTTTATGGGAGCAGAAAGCCTCATCTTTCTCTCA